ATAAAGTCTTTTGCTTTTGTTGTAAATTATTTTAAACAATTGCCTCAAAAAGTGAGTTAGCAAAAGATGAAATTAGTGATTGGAGACATCTTGGTGTGAAGCTTGACCAACATGAAAAGAGTAAAGAGCATCTCATTAATAAGAGAACTTGGGTTGAGTTGAAAAGTAGATTGACAAAAAAATCAGACGATTGATAAAGAATTTCAAATGCGAATCAAGAAAGAGACAAATCATTGGAAACAAGTGATGCTTAGAATTATTGTTGTTGTAAAATGTCTTGCCATACGTAATTTAGCATTTCGTGGAACAAATGAAAGACCTTATGAAGACTCTAATGACAACTTCTTAGGTTTACTTGAAATGATTGCGGAATTTGATCCAATAATGCAAAAGCATTTTCGACTCATTGAGAATAAAGAGATTCATCACCACTATTTTAGCCATAAAATCCAAAATGAGTTGATAGCTACTTTAGCTTCAAAAATCAAAACCGCAATCATTAAAAAAGTAAAAGAAGCCAAATTTTTTCTGTCATTCTTGATTGTACTCTTGATGCAAGTCATGTGGAACATATGACTTTAATTTTGAGATGTGTTGACTTGTCAAGTATGTCAATAAATATAAAGGAGTATTTCATGAAGTTTTTAAGTGTGTAAGATACATCAGGACAATAACTTTTTAATGAGTTGCAAGATGTCCTAAAGTCTCTTGATCTTGATATTGATAATGTGAGGGGACAAGGTTATGATAATGGATCTAACATGAGAGGGAAACACCAAGGTGTCCAGAAAAGATTGCTAGACATAAATCCTAGAGCCTTTTACATGTCATGTGGTTCTCATTGTCTTAATTTAATAGTTTGTGATATGGCAATTTCATGTCTTAAAGCAAAATCTTTTTTTGGAGTATGTCAATGCATATATACGGTGTTTTCTAAGTTCACAAAGCGTTGGAATATTTTGCTTGAACATATTGATGATTTAACTTTGAAGTCATTGTCAACTACTCGATGGGAAAGTCACATTGAAAGTGTTAAAACAATTAAATCCCAAGTAGCCCAAGTTAGAAATGCTTTGTTTACTTTGGTGGAAATCACTGAGAATCCCCAATTAAGTAGGGATGTAGGATGTTTAGCATTAGGAGAACTTTCTAGTTTTGATTTTGTATTAAGTTTGGTTATTTGGTTTGACATTTTGTTGAAGATTAACATGGTGAGCACAAAATTACAATCTGAGGACATGCGTCTTGATGTTGCTGTAAAGGCATTGGAAGCACTTGTTACCTTTTTTGAAAACTACAGAGAAACTGGTTTTGCTTCTGTCATGCGTGATGCTAAAGAAATTGCACTTGATTCGGAAATTGACCTTATTTTTCAAACTAAACGTCATAGACCTAAAAAAAAACATCATGATGAAGTTGATGGTAATGAGAGCGAACAACAGTCTGCTAAAGAATCATTTAGAACATATTATTTTCTAGTTATAGTGGATATTGTTTTTTCTCAGCTGAAACACATGTTTGAACAGTTAAAGGCTTTTGAATCTATTTTTGGCTTCTTGTTTGATGCACCGAGGTTAATTTCATTGGATGAGCAACAGCTAAAAGAAAATTGTAGGAATCTTGAAGCACATTTGAAACATGGAAATACCATGGATGTAGATGGAGCCGATTTATGTTCCGAATTACATGTGTTGCAAATGATGTTACCTGAAGAAGCATTTCTCTCCAATAACCCTTGGACATCCATGGAAATAGCAAACTTTGTAAAAGAAACTGACATGTGTCCTAACGTCTTGATTGCTTATCATGTACTGTTGACTGTACCTGTGACTGTGGCATTTGCAGAAAGAAGTTTTTCAAAATTGAAATTATTAAAATCTTACTTGCGGACCACTATGACTCAAGATAGGCTAAATGGATTAGCAATCTTATGCATTGAAAAAGATGAGATTGAAGACTTGGAGTATAATGATATAATTGATGATTTTGCTTGAAAAAATGCCAGAAGACAATTTCTTAAAGGTTGAAATTTCAAGGAGCTTTGCTAGGAATGGTTGTATATGATTGTATTTTTTATTGTCGGGGTTTAGGTACTATATCCCCCCCGTTGTATATTTTCTCAAGTAATATAATTTGGGTGTGAGGGCTTAGCCCCCCCAGCTTCGACTGGGTTCCAACCCTCGTTAATTTTTTTTTTTTTAACATATGTTTCCGTATTAAAAAAGGGCATATTTTGAGCTTTCGCACTGGGCACCAAAAAACTCAGGACTGGCCCTATGCGGAAGAAGGTGATCTGGGGATGCAAGCAGTGAGGTCGCAGAGATGCAAGCAGCCAGGTCGCAGAGATGCAAGCACCGAGGGCACTGATGTTGACTGTAGAAGAGATAAAGATGAGAGAGAGAGAGAGAGAGAGAGAGAGAGAGAGAGAGAGAGAGAGACATACTGATGTATCATGTATGGACTCGAATAGTGGTGCAAAATTGGATGACTAGTGTAGTTGAACTAATTAAAACATAATATTCAATATATGGTGCGGTTTGAAAACCCAAAACTGAAACCAAACCATTTTCTTTGCCGCGGTTCGGTTTTGAAACCGCAACCGTTTCAAAACCGCAAAACCAAATTGTTCGATGCAGTCCGATTCGATTTGTGTTTCGGTTTCGATTTTTTGTTCCAAGTGCCCACCCCTAACTATGCGACGTCTCTCTCAAACTTTTTGTTAATTTGACAAAATGAAATTGTGGGTATAAGTTCGGGTGACATCCGAAGATTGCATATTTTGTTAAGCAGCTATAGCCAAAAAATAAGATATTGATGAGCATGTATGTTCAAACCGGTCCCGAATCACCAAAAGCATCATGACCATTGACATCTTTCCATGAGAATCATCACTCCTCACTCCTCCCTCAGCAGCAGTCAAGATTTCTGCTAACTTGGGTAAAAATAACTTCAACGTAATTACTCGCAGAGTTCCGAAGCTAATAACTTTCTTAGAGCAAACAAGGACAGGTGATAATTTATGAGATAATAACCTTTTCTGGGTATGTTTAGAACCAACAGGATCCTCTTCGGATTTTTTGGTAAGGATTATAGGGATTTGTGAATCGTATCTGTTCATCGTACATTGTACAATCAGGGTTTGCCAAGTACTGTTTGTGTTTATTTTAAATAGAAATATTTAAAATAATTTCTGACCGCACGATATACGATAAACGGACATGATTGATGAATTTTCGAGATCCTCACAAAAAGAATTCGACGAGAATTCGGATTCTGTTTAGAACAGACTATTGTCGCTATATAATTGTTGTGGTAACTATTTGCCAGTACTTGAATAGAAAATAAGATAAAAAGACAAAAAGAAGAGTGAAAGAAGAAGATGAAAGGAGATGGTAATAGAATGAGAGAGACAACAAAACTTTCTTTTGACTTTTGACTACTAAATGATCCACTTCAATTGACCTAAAAAAAAATATGATTGATCCACTTCAGAGATAGGGTTCCCAATTTCGAATTCATCCTCCTTTCTTTAGGGTAGATGCCCTTGGGAATGAAAGTTTCACTGCAGCTTTTTACAAGTCTTGCTGCCCAATATGTTGCGTTTCGGAGGAAAGTACCCATCGGTAACTGTAAAAAGTAAAGCGATTCACGTTATATGGCAAATACAAGTTTGTTTGATCCCAATTATATATGTACGTGGTCTATATATGGATGAAGTATTTACGTATATAGATTGATTCTAATCATTTATACTTATGAGACTTATAAAACATAAATAGTTAAAATTAACTCAAACACATGTGCGTGACTAATCCTAACACTTCTCTGCAAATACAAACCTATGAAAATAAAATAAAATTTGAGTCTTTGCTCAAACAATACAACCTTTCTACGCATGCAATGCAAATGCTAAAAGCTCAAAGAGTTTTGGCACAAAACACTAATTTGAAACTGATCTCTTCCTGCCCAATGTACAATAATGATAGCTAGAAACCCATTTCCCACTTAACAAATTAAACTATAGATGATTAGGGTCTGACCAACAATGAAAAACAAAATAGATGATTATACTACACTCTTGGGACAACCAAACATAAATATATAAAACCAGAGAATGTATGTGTATTTTCAAACTCTCCACCTTTGAGTTATGAATTTTTCAATCTGTGGGGATGTGGGAACCTTTGATCTTGAACTCTCACTTACAACCACATGGGGGAGAGTTAATTACCACACAGTGGATCAATGTCAATGAGTTAAAACGGTTACTTATGCAGTAGATGTAGGTCCTTGATGAACCAAAACTGGGCAGCACAAAAAGCAAAGGAGAGACCTTCTCATGTCAATTGGTCTTTGCTCCTCTTTCAGGAAAGGACAAATTCTGAGATGCCACTTTTCCTTCTCCATGCATGCTTCTAGAAACATCCACCTTATTACTTATGGAAAATTTGCTGCACTTTCACTTTCACTTTCCATGTGGGAAAAACGAGAGTCAATTTGTGGAGAAAACAACGCATGAAACAAAAGGAGCTTCTCTAACCCTAGCTAGTCACTTTACTCACCTGCCGTTGGATTGAAGTTTTACATCAGAAATAGATGTGGCAGCAAAGTTTTACATGAGAAATAGATGTGGCTGCAAAGGTATTGCCAGTTTCACCATTTTAGGATTTAGGGGTGTGACTGTAATTTGGCTATGGAGTGAGAGAACCTTAGACACCAAACATTCTGAAATGCTTCAACATTTATTTATTCATCATCCCAACTTCACGTTGATATAGCAGTGAAACCTGGCACACGTCTTTTTCCTTGAAACAACGAGGATAAAATCACATAAAAGTACTTGACCATGACTAAGTAATAATAATCAATGAAAGTTAGTGATTTATTAATACATAATGATTCCTCCAGCTTCTATTCTATATATAAACCCTCACGTTTTATAACCAAACACTTGTGTGCTTCCCTCTCTCTCTCTCTCTCTCTATCTCAAACACACAAACATGTCAACACTGAATCAGCTCTTCGATCTTCCGGATCAGATTTGCTATGTTCAATGTGGCTTCTGCACTACCTTACTACTGGTTACTCAATATTTGCCCCAACTCTTTTACAAGTAGATTGAGAAAAATAGTGATTTAGCTAGCATGACTGATTAAGTTCCTGGGTTCTGATCTGTTTCTTACTTTTTTTTTTTTTTTTTTTTTTTTTTTTGTCGAGTTTCTTAGTCTATTCTATTATCTGGCCAATTTTGACCGATTGGTTTCTATGTAAAAATGTAGGTGAGCATCCCATGCAGCAGCTTGTCAATGTTGGCTGTCACGGTCCGTTGTGGTCATTGCAGTTGCCTCCTATCTGTTAACATGATGAAGGCCTCCTTTGTTCCCCTTCATCTCTTAGCGTCACTTGCCCAAGATGAGGTACATATACCCTATACATGTATGAGCAGTTTTTTTAATATATCAATCTCATCAAATCTTGAATATTTCTTCGGGTTTTCCCATCTTGTGCTTAAAAAACCTAGTCTCTCACTTTACTAAAAAACAATATGGTGTCTCTGAGAAATTTTTATCTCTTCGTAGCAAAAAGAAGAACTTTGCTTAGAGGAAATGGTGGAGAAACAAAACCCCTTGGACATGCGCAGCCCACCAATGGTGGTTTCTAATTCTGATAATGAAGAGGAGGATACAATCTTCATGAATCCCATTGTTAACAAACGTATGTTTATAAGCCATCCATAATTTGGCAATTATATATATAGGCTTACATTAACCTTATCTAATTTCTACTGTTTGTGTAGCCCCAGAGAAGAGACAACGAGCTCCATCGGCTTACAACCGATTTATCAAGTAAGATTATATGCATGTGAATGTGATTCAACAACGAGGAGCTTTAGACATTTTATGTGACTTTCTTTTGTTAAACAGGGAAGAAATCAAGAGGCTTAAGGATGAGAATCCAAGCATGACTCATAAGGAAGCTTTCAGTACAGCAGCAAAAAATGTAAGTTTTTTATAGCCAAGATCAGTAATGAAATTTAATTATAGTACTATTAACTTTCGTGATTTTGCATGTTTGACTATGTGTAGTGGGCTCAGTTCCCTCCAATTCAGTACAAAGAAGATGGTCCAGATGGAGAGAGTTGCACCAGCCAGAGAGAGGAAAATGTGGCATGGGAATCTGATGTGCCTGAGGTAAACTAAACACCCTAAGTTCCCAACTTTGATCAGATTAATTTCAAATGTACTTATCACAAAAAATAAAATTCAAAAGGGTAATCAAATCAAGTAATCCCCTAACTTGTCGACTATTGTTTATAGGTTAGTTATGCAGCATGCGTGATTAAAATATTGATCACAAGCATGTAAACCCTAATTGACTTTTGTTTAGAGGTTGGCAAACCCTAACTAAAATATCATGTAATTAATGTAGCAAATGATCAGAATATATAGCAATTCACCAAGGGGGCATCACGAGGGCTAATAGTAATATCGATCCCAAAACTTGTCACTATCTTTGTAGTTCAAACTACTGAATGCCAAATTTATTATTTGAAAGCAAAGGCCAGCTCCTTATGCGTTTGTAATAATTAAATTTATGCCACTCATTCATGCATAACTTTCTGTTGTTAAAAATTTGCAGGCAGTCGAAGATGGCAAAGTTTTCGGTGAGACAAAGGCCCTAAGGCATTCCATATGGGCAAGGACACCCTTCGAGTGAATGAAGACTTGACCTAAACTTCTATAACAAGAAAGCTGTTTGTTTTTCAGGCCCACGATTTAGGGTTCAAGTCACTTGCTATTTTAAGAGTAGATTCTCTAGGAAATGTGCTTTACATTTCAGATTGAACAAAAAAGTCTTCACTGGCTGCAGAAAGATGTATTACTCGGTCGATCTAGCTTTCAAATGACCTTGCTGATTGTGATCGAATTATATATTTAATTTGGTTCAGTTAAACAAATTAAAGTTTTTCTAGTTCAATTCAGTTTCCAAGTAAATAAAATTTGTATGGTTATATGGACTGCATGCAAATTTCCATATGGTTGTGACAGCTACATTTCCTCATTTGGTTATATGCTAGCTGGGACTCTTGCTATAAGAGACATTAATTAATGACACATTTCAAAACTAGGGAAGTGTTTAAGTAGTTTGTCATGCATCATCTATCTAATTATTTTTCCAATGTTTTTCAATAATTATTATGAATGATGCTCGATATATGATATATATATATATATATATATATATATATATAGGGAGATGTTTGATCATGTTCATGAAATAGATGAAACTTTCATACATGGTTTGGCCAAGGGAGTCTCCTCGATTTACCTATCTCAACAGAATCTATGCTTAGGTGGTCTTCAGATTCAGATGACGGTAGTAAATGTGGATGAATCACAGTAATATGAATCATTTTGAAAGCAAAGTTGTAAGTTATACCATTCAAAAATGGCCCAGCCCTTGTGGGAAAATAGATAAAACCTATATTTGTGGCACACAGAGTCATGAGTACGTAGCACAAAAAAATTGGTACTTGATTGGGATTTTATCCATTTTCCGAATCATCGAACCTTATTTACAGCTATAATTACAATCTAGGATATTCAAAATGATGGTAGCTAATTTTTGAGCTGTAATTAATTTGTTTTCTGATTCACTCGTATGTTTCAGAGTAATCACACATTCACTTCTAGTACTGTTTCCTTCTTCCAAATCTTGCCCGCCTTTGAATATAACTGCCTGAAAATAGAAAATGCAGCAACCTCGAATAATTAAGTTTGCAATAATTTAACAATCTAATTAATTTTTCTTAGGCCCCATTGCTGTATGAGAATCTATACATACATACATACATACATACATACAGGATAAATCTTCCCGATCGACCATCACAGTTACAGTGATGTATATATTGGTGTGGTTGGGGTTAGATATACATATATCTAATTTTGTGGTGTAATTCATGAGTGTATTGAATGCAAATAATTCTAAAAAAGAAAAGAAAAGTATAGATGAGCTGGGTTCTTACCTATTAAAGGCCTGGGAGAAATTGAGTGGAAGTATGCTTGGAAGAAGTGCCTATTCTCTTTTTGTAGCTCTCTCCACAATCATATATATATGCATTCAGCATTCACACACTAGTAAACCAACTAACTAGACTAATAATGATTCATAGGGTGGGCATCAAACCAACTTATCCCAATCATATTGGTCGGTTTGGTTTTGATCAAGAAAAAAGTCAAACAAATCGAACTGAATCGATTTATTTTTAGTTTGGTTTTGATACTTTTGAAACCGAGCCAATCATGTATTTTTTAATTATTAATTTATTTATTTTACACGTGAACGTATTATAGGTTATTTAGAGGTCTTATTCGTATACATATTTATATGTCTCAACATATTACAAGTTGTCTATTAACAATTAAGAGATTTATATGTACTTTATACTTCTGTGAGGTTTTAATTAATAAATCGTCTGCTAGCATGAGTTTTTATTTAATTGAAAACTAGTTCTATTTGACTTAATGAATTTTTAAGGTTCCGAAAAACTTAATCTTTCAATCGAATTGGAATTAATGCATGAAATGTATGAATGTTTAAAAGATTAAAACTCTTGAAATGTTCAACATGTTTTATTTATGTGTAGAATAGACTTAAACCGACCAAACTAAACCGAATGAAACCGATTAATAATGGTTTGTTTTGATTTGGTTCGATTCCAACAGTGGCATTGATAAAAATGGAACAAAATCGAACCGTTCAATACTAGTTTATTCGACTCTATTTTTGTGCCACACCGAATCAAACGGATCCGCACCCACCCCTTATGATCGAACACACGCGTCTGTATACGTATTAATACACTAGTAAATACAGAAAATCTCGAGAGACAGACCTGTAAGCGTGACGAGTGGCCTAATGCTTGCATGCTCTGCTAACACCTTTACGCATTGGTCACGACTCATTTGAAGTAGCAAGCATCTCTCAATAAGATGTTGAACCTGTTTTTTATATGCATCAGTATCATTACCATAATTTCCATGCAAATTAAGAAAAGGGTAATGCTAAAGAGACTAAAGTTGTAATAAAATTTTGTAAATTAAATGATATGGAAATTGATGATTGGATAATTACTTAAGCGTTGATAAACGTGTTCATTCCTATTTATGACATATCATTTAGTTTGCAAATTTTATTTACAAATTTAGTCTCCTTAGCATTACTCTTAAGAAAATTATTGGCATGCATAAGTACAATGAGAGAGAGAGAGAGATGGAGATTACCATTCTAATGTAGCTTTGAGAGTGGCAATGCAGACATGGACCAAAGTGATGACTGTGATACATTTCTCCCGAGTCTCGATGAGTCTAGGGTTTGGACAAAAACAAAAGGCATGAAAGGCTAAAAGAAGAATAGAATAGAAGAGAGAGAGGTAGGAAGAAAACAGATATAGAAGCCAAAAAAAGTTCAAGGAAGAAAAGATATTTAGAGGGGTTATATAGAACAAAAGACGACCTAAAATACCAAAAGGGAAGTGTTGTTATCCACAGATATCGAAGCGAAGGGCCAAAAGAGCACTAGAAATCCAAATGATAGAGTCACCTCATCTCCAAAGACTTCAAAAGATAAGAGAACACACATTTGCGTTTGTGCCGATGACAAATCCGTACGTGGCTAAGCTACTAGCCACTTCACTTGATGATTGATGACTTGAACCAGTCCCAACAATTAATTAATTTGCTACCTATTTTCGGGTCCTACATCCCCTACTTGCAAATTGCCATGAGTTAGTATTGCGTTCGTGTATGCTAGCTAGGGCTCTTGATGCAATACCGTGCATGCCATGATTCATGGATAAATATACTTGTTGTATAATAGTCTTTATCTCGTTTGTCATACAAACGATATTGGAAAAAAAAATTGAACTTAGAACTTCGAATGCAAGTATAAAAATTATTATTCATAACCGAATGCAAATGGTTAGCCATTATGATAGTGCATAAATAATGTTCCTTCTACATATCGTTTTTGTAGCTGCTTGTGTCCCCCGCAACATTGAGTGTTCATTATTTTTTAGATGAATATACAATTTTCTTCACTTTCATTTCTTAATAAGGGTATTACAACTTTCTCGAAGTCCGATTTTGAAGACTTACAATTAATGATTTTAACAAACATTTAGACTTTTAACCACTTGAATTGCAAATCTTTTGCGACAATCTAATCTTTTATTGCATATGTTATAGGGAGTTTTGAGTCTTGACACCTGGAATGGCATAAGTTCTCCCCTTATGTTAACGTATGGTTCTTTCTTCTTTGTGGGTGCGTTTATTCTGCACGTCTTCATGTGTTTGGGCCAATATTATTCTAGATAGATGCGAAGCTTATGTGCCGCGCGTAATACTCTGGTCCCAACCTCATTCTCCCCACACTACAAAAAAAAAAAACATGTTAATGAGGAGATATTTTTCAGTGTAATGCCGGAAACTCGCACTCAGTTCAACATGAACAAGTCCAACCATTGGCATAAAGCCAAATTGCCTCCAACTTACTCACATGTGAATCGGCAAAGCAGAAACGTCATTTGACCATGTCAATAATTCATCGCATATGTTCCACCATTCTCATGGCCTGACTGAGTGACTAATCCACCTGATTAATTAGCATTATTTAATTGATTATCTTACTCACCATACCATCATCGAATAAAGTATTATTCTTTCTTTTGACAACTGTTGCCTTTGTATATAACCACGTTTATTGAAAAAAATAGCACAACCACCAGATGACCTTGTGAGTTGCAGACAAATGGAACTTATTCCACCCTAAAACAGGGAGAGGTTCCTTCTGGTCCAACTTCAATCAGCCAACTATTCCAAAAGACAAAAAGGATTCGAACACAATGCGTTACTGATCATTTTTATTTTGGAGGATTGATATTCAAGTTTTAAAACTCAGATCTATCAAGTGTATTTGCTTATTATTTCGGTTCATCGAAAAATGACTGATAGCTCAGAATCTGTTGTTTGCAAAAAAATACGGTACTAAGAGTGATCCAGATACAATGCCAAGAAACATTTACCACACTCAGGCGCTTGACAATGCAAAAATCAAATAAACCCAAAATGGTCACTTGAAACACCACTAGCTTCCTCAATTAACATCAGACTTATCCAAAATAATAACCAACATAGAGTCGGTACAAATTCATCAACTACACTTGTAGTAATTTTTTAATGAAAATAATGAAAACCTTAAGATGGGGCAAGAATTCAGTTGATTTCTCCATAAACTTTGAAGAAAGTTGAGATATTAAGATTTTACCGTAAGACAATTGACAATACTGAAAATAACCTAATTAACTCCATAATTACTAACCCATTTCCTTTAAGGCTCCATTTGTTACACCTTCTTAAGGGTGACTATCTAACAGAGATTTCAATCCAGTAGAAGGAGAATAAAGTTCCCTTATGACCCTCGAAAAGCAACCTAGCTAAAAGATTTATAGTTCCAACCATGAAGTTGCGGCCCCAAAAAGAAGAAAGCAGATAGCATTCCATTGGGTCGATTTCTTCTACCTACATCTAGAAAGTAGAAACCTTTTTTAATTTGTTCATAAATTTATACACACTGATGGGATATCTATATGCATGTATTACTTTCCCTGCTTTCCTTACCTACAAGAAATAAACTCATATAATGACACTATTAAAACACAATTATATCACAAGGACCCCAAATCACTTTCAGATCAACAACAAAAGGAGGGGAAAAAAAAAATATAACAATCACGTTAAAAACACATAATTCTTATCGTCTCCACAAATCTACCTTTTGATACAATCCCATCGTAGATATCACTCAAGAAATTAATTAATATAAAAAAACCGATATTATTGTGTGCAATCTACATGTTAAATATCGCGTGCGTGAGTGAGATGTGGGGGGAGTGATCAGATCAGATCAGGCCAGATGATGAATGAAACGCACTGACCCCTCCATTATTGTTCTGTTTTGGAAGAAATTAAAAGCAAAGAGAGAAAAAAAAAGACAAAAAATGCAAAATGGGTGGGAAATGCAGGCCAGAGGCTCCTTTCATAGCAATGACGTGTGTTTGTTGAAAGGCATGCATGTGAACGCAGGCAGCTCCATCCATCCACACTCACACGGCTTTTTAATTTTGAATATTTGGCGACACGCACTATGATTTTATTTGTACCACTGTATGTGCGGACGGCTTCTTTGTACTGCTAACTATGCTTCTTCACGCTATCCAAAATTTCAAACAAGAAGGAAGAAAGAAAGGAGAAAATTTCAGAGATGGCATGCCTGCTGCCGATTGCTTGCTCCCAAATTATTTTTACTTTTGATCCAAGCAACAACAAAGCAAACCATTTTCTTTTCTATGTGCCTTGGGTTTGCGCCCACCTTTGATTACTAATATATTCATACTTTGTAGATTAGGGAGGAGAATATTGTCACTAAGTTAGGTATTGGATGAAAATGAAAAAAATCATGATCAATAATATTATAGATAATACTTGCATCCCACCCCATGGAGGAATGCATATGTTTCAACTTGTGCATAACAAATGTTTACATAAATTTTTTATCATATGAACTGTTTTAAGTTCTTAATATTTTTTTGAATATCATCTCTAGAGAAAATCATTTGAATCGGAGATCATTTAATCATCTAAATGTATAAAACAAATAAATAGTGTTGGCATGAATTAGGGAAGTTAAACGAAAAACTCCCGATATTGTTCACTTTAATAAAAAATCACATTTTTATACTAAAAAATCAATCATTGTACTCACTTTACCCTTTATTTTGTCATTATCGTTAAAACTCAAAGTTTTCAAGCCATTTTCATTAATTTTCCTCATGAATTAACATATTCATGATGAACAATCCATTTAATTGATGCATTTAAATGATGAAACAATCTCCGATGCAAATGATAATAATACAATATTCGCAAAGGAAATATGTGCATTCCCACATATAGTGGATTGCAAGTATTATCCTAATATTATGTTCCGTTTATCTTCAGTACTACACATGTTAACGTTGTTGTTAATACAATTACGCATGTATTTTTGCTTTTCATTACTCCTAAGTATGCAATCAAGTTTCTCAAAACATCCGCAACCTTTTCTATAGCAGCCGTGGACCACTACAATGTCGGTTTCCCAAGAAAGAACGCAAATCGAGATAAGAACAATATAGGTTGTTCTCGGCTGAAATCATCTAATTTCAACCACTAGTTGATGAAATGATCAGTTCAACATCTGAAATTTAATTTCAGATAATCTTAGTAAAAACCTCAATTTCTTTTATTAAAGAAAATACCATCATTTTTAGATTAATATTATTAATCTCTATAATTCATAAGCATCCAACGTATTATCAAGAATTCTTTTTGTTCATTTTAGAGCATTGAAAACAACTATTTTCTTTTATTTCGTAACTTCCAAAATATTTGTGGCTTCATTCTAAATAATTGTAATTTAAAGATTTCATTTATTCTTAAAAAATGGATGTTCAAAGCACAGAAATTCAACCATATGGGTTGATTTTGTATCATAATTGTAATGGGACAGCTGATTTGGTTTTATTTTGGTGTTTGATTATACAATTTGGTTCAGATTTGGTTAAATGGCCAATATACAATTGGTATCCATATAATTAACAAATTGCATTAGACTAGTCTTTAAACTTGCTAAGGTGTCATGACTGGGCAACCAAACCATTAGTATTCAACTTCGCAAAAGCCCGCGTCATCAAATTAATACTCTCAAGTTCGAATTCTTTTAAATTTTGGTTTGTACAAAAAATTAGTACTTGGGCGGCTCTTTAATCAGTGTTTAAAATATCAGTATTGATGCAAAATATCGATATACAAATTTGTGAAAATATAAACGGATATATCAAATATTGATATGCTTTCAACAGAAATGAGAGAAATTTAAAATAAAACTTTAGGGATTGTCAAATATCGGCTTAGACTAAATATAAGAGTTTTTCCAATCTTTAACAGATGTGTCAAAAATATCGACGATAAAATTTTAACACAAACTTAAGAGTTTTTTCTTATATAAGTAAAGTTTGAACTTCATCCTATTTTTTTAATATTTTCATAAAAATATCAACCGTTATAAAAAAAAATTTCTAAACGCAACTTGAAATTAACAAATTATTTCATTCATATGGAAATATTTTGGTGTGGTTGGTCTCCGTTGCGTCTCTACTCTCTAATTCCGTGAATGATGCGGTTGATGCTGATGAGATGATGGCTCCTCGTCTGTCCGCTCACCCGCCAAAATTACCCGTCAACAACGGGCCTGGATTCTCTGCCCCCCCTATCCTACACCCTTTGTATCTTTTTTTATTTTTGTGGTCACCGTTAAGTTACGTTAACATTTTATATTGATTTTTTTATAGAAATAATAAGACAAAAAACAATAAGAATATAAAATGTTAACATGATTTAACTGTAACCACAAAAATAAAAAGGGATGAGAAATGTATGGGATGAGGCAGATAAGCCAACAACAAAGCGGGTGCGTGGGGTCCGCTCTTCTGTGGGACCCATCACACTCAGTCAGCCATGAGCTAGCCAAAACTAAAAGCTGTAGTTGTACCCCCCAACTTCCTCAACCCACCCACACCCCCTTCCCCTGTTCCCCCGCCTTTAGTATTTTTCAACTAATTTCTGATCCATGGCCCCCTTCCCCCCGCTCTCGTTCTAATTCTACCCACCCACCCA